GGGGCTGGGCTTTGTGCCGCCGGGTGGGGCCGGAGCGCGCGCGGGCGGGGTGCGGGCCCCCTTTGTGCTCCGGGGCGTGGGGAGAGGGGAGCGGCGCCCCCCGGCCGCGCACGACTCCTGGCGAAAGAACAGCGTGACTTCCGAACTGCTGTGACTGCCCTGCTTCCCGCCACGTTGCTCGGTCAACTTCGCAAGGCCGCGATCGTTCCCGCGTGGAAGGACTTCTACAGTGTCCCACTGCCTGACCTGGCCATGAAGGGAAAACTGCCCGAGAGAGCACTTTTCATTTCCATTTCTGTGCACTAATGGGAACTCAGTAATTTAAGGGAAGGGGGGAGAAATAACCAGCACCAAAGAGACATACAACCTTCGGGTCCCCAGAAGTAAACACTCTAGGTGAGATTTGATAGGGTTAATGCTCATAAATAAAGCAGGTTTGATTAGTATTCTTAAAAGTTATATACATGTACTTTTCTGTTCAGTTTTCAAATGATTTCTTTTTATGTTAAGCATCTGTAGTGCCGTAAAATAATGCCTGTTATCACTACGTTGTGATACAATTCTAATTTTAAATTGAAATATTAAAAGTAAAAATATAACAGGAGCCTTACATTTACTTAGTACTAACCCATATGGGTTTGGAAAATATTTTATTACAGAGATCCCGACTGTTGAGTAATTGCACAACAGACAACAATAGCTTCAAATATCCGCTAAAAACCCTGTTCAATTATGTGATTACCAGTGGGAGTGGAATAACTCCCGATGAATTGTTCTTATCACTCTACTCAATGTGAGCATGTCAGTATTTTAATCCCCATCGTGTTTACCTTAAAGTCCAAAAGAATTTAAACAACATTGTTCAGGGTCTTAGTTCCTACAATGCATATTTTAAACAAAAAAAGAGACATTTTTGGCCTTATAACAAAAAAAAAATGTTTTTGCTTCTCCAGCACACATATAATACACATCATAGAGATGTTTTGCTGTATGTGAATAATGTATTTTCTATGATAAGTACAAAACTAAAAATTGGATTGGTCCCATTTGACTTTAGAAAATGCCAAACTTAAAACTAGGTTATTAAAGTGAAGGTCTAGCAGATCCCAATTTCCCCCCTAAAAAAACAAAAACCTAAAAGTATATATCTACACTTGTAAGGATAGCTTTGGGAATGGAGATGAAAGATGGAGATACACACACACATATATATGTATACATATATGTTTGCATGTATTGCCACACTCAGCTACAACTTCCAAAGGAAAATTAAATTTTAACGTTTACCTTGTTCCAAGTTAGTTATTTTTAACCACTCAGCTAGTGTAACTATAATTCAGTCTACCCAGGCAATCAATTCAAATGGGTAACAAACAGATCTGTTTCCATTATAGGGTTTCCTAATAGTACTTTCATGGTTAAATAATCACATTTTAGCACTAAGGAAACAAAAATAAAATTGTAAAATTTAAAAATATTATTTAGGTTGGGGAAGAGAGTGTTTAAATGGACAGTATTATCCAATTCTAAAACTTCTTTAAGTATGCCTCAGAAAGTCTTCTCTCTTGTAATTATCTGAAGTCCATAGCAGAGTTACCAGTTCTTCCCAACAGCTAGTTCATGCAAAGGAGAAATGGCATTACAGAGAGAATCCAGTTTTGTTTAGGAAATATTCCAAACACAAAATGGGAAAAGCAATAGGAAAGGGGAAGGGAAAGGATTTTCTGTGCTTCTAGTGATGACTTGGATGAATCTAGATTTGGTGTCACCTGTCAGAGGATTTCTTCCTAAGCATATTATTTGGTAATAGAATGTACCATTGCATGTCATGCTCAGCCTTTCATAGATTTTTTTATTTGCATGTCATTTGTTTCTTTTGACATGTGAAGCTTACAAGAATATGTATTCCTATACAACCTCTCTTCAGTCTGTCAAAAATGTACACATATCATAATTAAATGATATCCAAGGTTTATGAAATAAGGAGGCTAATTTTCAATCATGTCTTATAGAAACTGGTCTCACTAATTAGTGGTCACCCCAAAGAGTTATTGCTCCTAAATCTTTTAATTGGCTAATGACCATGGTCTTCCAATCTACAACATCACTTGATTTTCTGGTTTTTATATTTTTTCCTGAAAATAAAAATGTAGAAATTAGGAAGTGTTTTAAAATAGATGCTTTTTCAAAATTAAAATTATCTTAGTTAAAAGCCTTTTCCTAGAATGTATTAAGGTCCAATATTTTTGTATAAGAATCTTTTTAGAAATTATAACTAATCCTTCAATCATTTAAAATAAGGACTGTCCAACATACTTAAGCATTTGGGCCCTCTGACACATCTAAAGTGATTCTAGTAGAAAAGCTAAT